GGGGGGGCGGTTAGCACGCCCCGGAGCCCCCGCCGGGCCGAGGCCTTCCCCGTACCCTCCGGGGGTGGCGGAAGCCGGTGAGGGGTTGTGGCGAATCTGCGGGACGCGGAGGGCCGAGGCAAACCGGGCGCGGCCCCCGACGTTACCGGGAAAGAGACACCGCCTCGCTGGGTGGGTGGGGGGTGTTACGGGCACTTCCAAGCACCGTGCGGGCCGGGCTGCCCACGCCGCAGACTCGTAGTCTCCGGTACCGGGCTCGTCCCCTTCGCCCCGCCACAGCACGGGGAAGCTGCGGGCGGTTTCCCGCCTTCACGTTCCTGTCAGCATTCCCCACAGGCAGGCTCACCGGCTTCCCGCTCGGCAGCCCCGGCCGGTGGTCGCATGCCCGGGCCGGGGGAGCGGCAGCGCTGTCTCCCGGTGGCGAATCTGCTGCGCAGAACCGGCGGCGGCCATAGCGCCTCGCGCCCGCCGGCCTTTGGCGCCTTTTTTTACCTCAGAGGAGCCCTGAGGCGCTCGGGGGTCGCCGGGGAAAATGGCGCAGGGCAGGGCCCGGCCCCGAATAAATCCGCAAAAGGCGGGCGAGAACGGGAAGTGAACCGCTCTGGAAGCACAGGGGAGTCTTTAGTCTGTGTAAAGCATGGCTGGGGAATGGTGTCTCTTTGAAGAGAGACTGTGGGGCTCCATCAGCCCCCCGGCCTTGCTGTGCCTGAGGGCAGTGGGGACATGGCGGCGAGAGGGCCTGGGGACAGCAGGTCAGCCTGTGGGGTGGTGTGAGGGAAAGCCACTCGTGCGGCCCGCGGTGAAGGCCCAAGGTTATAGATCTGCATAGATTGTCATTTCAAACTGAACAAGACTGACCACCTCAAACACTGTCACAGCGGGTTGGGAGTTACAGACTCATGGAATTGAACAGTTTCTTGCTGAAATTTGCGAAGGTATCACACAGGGCAGTAACGAGCTCACAAATTGTAAACGATGCACCACACGGCCCTGGGTGTCTGAGGAATATGACGAAGTTCAGACCTCAGCATTCAGCGTAGGAGCCTTACACAACCAAAACTGTTAAAAGTGACTGAATTAAATATGAAAACTTAAGGTCTGGCAGTGATGTCGTACAGCTAGTAAGATACATTCCTAGACATCCATAAAGGAGGTTTTGGTGGATCTGGTGAATGTGGCAGCTGAAGGAAGGCCAAATGGGTGATACCTCCTTAATCCACAAGGATAGTAGAAGATGAAAAGAAGGAAAACTAACAATATGATGCCAGGTTGCTGCAAGTCAGGCCCATTTCTTCTTGATGCCTACAGTTTGTCTGGCCCAGTTTGCTTTTGTTCTTAAGCATATTATTATGAAGAAGTCATGAGACAAGAGCTCTGCCCTCTTATGCTCACAGTCTGCTATCGGTGGCCACAGTGGAAATTTATTGACGTGCAGCAGAATAATCTGTGACTCCAATTTCATAAGTAAAAGAAATTAAGAATTGAAATGATTCCTCAGTCAGCCAGCCAGCCACGCCTCTGTTCAGTTGACCAGTTTCATTTGGGCGGAACATTTGTAATGAGAAGGTGAGAAAATCCTTGCTAAGAGGTGGAAAAAACCCTGTTTTTTACCCTGATTTTGACTGCTTCATGCATTCATCTCTGGTTTATTAATAACATGGTTTTGTTGGTAGTGTTAAAATGCATTTAATGTTGATAATGTTAAAATAAATTCTAAATTTGCACAGCTTATTGAAATATTTATTATGATGTTCAAGTACATTTACCGATACTCACTTGGCGTGCTACTAATTCTGAATCTTTACATTGTTTTCAAAGCCAGGGATGCATTGCTTACTCTGTTTTATGATTTGTTTTTTGTTTTTTTTTTTTTTCACTGTGCTTTTTGCCTGCTATTTATCCTGTCAGCTTAGCTGTTAGATTGGGAACTGTGTATGCCAGATGCTGTCTGCTGTTCTTTCTTGTGCAGTACTTAGAACAAAAGATCGGGGGGGGGGGAGGGGGGCGGTTAGCACGTCCCGGAGCCCCCGCCGGGCCGAGGCCCTCCCCGTACCCTCCGGGGGTGGCGGAGGCCGGTGAGTGGTTGTGGCGAATCTGTGGGACGCGGAGGGCCGAGGCAGTCCGGGCGCGGCCCCCGACGTTACCGGGAAAGAGACGCCGCCTCGCTGGGTGGGTGGGGGGTGTTACGGGCACTTCCAAGCACCGTGCGGGCCGGGCTGCCCACGCCGCAGACTCGTAGTCTCCGGTACCGGGCTCGTCCCCTTCGCCCCGCCACAGCACGGGGAAGCTGCGGGCGGTTTCCCGCCTTCACGTTCCTGTCAGCATTCCCCACAGGCAGGCTCACCGGCTTCCCGCTCGGCAGCCCCGGCCGGTGGTCGCATGCCCGGGCCGGGGGAGCGGCAGCGCTGTCTCCCGGTGGCGAATCTGCTGCGCAGAACCGGCGGCGGCCATAGCGCCTCGCGCCCGCCGGCCTTTGGCGCCTTTTTTTACCTCAGAGGAGCCCTGAGGCGCTCGGGGGTCGCCGGGGAAAATGGCGCAGTGTAGGGCCAGGCCCCGAATAAATCCACAAAAGGCGGGCGAGAACGGGAAGTGAACCGCTCTGGAAGCACAGGGGAGTCTTTAGTCTGTGTAAAGCATGGCTGGGGAATGGTGTCTCTTTGAAGAGAGACTGTGGTGCTCCCTCAGCCCCCCGGCCTTGCTGTGCCTGAGGGCAGTGGGGACATGGCGGCGAGAGGGCCTGGGGACAGCAGGTCAGCCTGTGGGGTGGTGTGAGGGAAAGCCACTTGTGCGGCCCACGGTGAAGGCCCAAGGTTATAGATCTGCGTAGGTTGTAACTTCAAACTGAACAAGACTGACCACCTCAAACACTGTCACAGCGGGTTGGGAGTTACAGACTCATGGAATTGAACAGTTTCTTGCTGAAATTTGCGAAGGTATCACACAGGGCAGTAACGAGCTCACAAATTGTAAACGATGCACCACACGGCCCTGGGTGTCTGAGGAATATGACGAAGTTCAGACCTCAGCATTCAGCATAGGAGCCTTACACACCCAAAACTGTTAAAAGTGACTGAATTAAATATGAAAACTTAAGGTCTGGCAGTGATGTCGTACAGCTAGTAAGATACATTCCTAGACATCCATAAAGGAGGTTTTGGTGGATCTGGTGAATGTGGCAGCTGAAGGAAGGCCAAATGGGTGATACCTCCTTAATCCACAAGGATAGTAGAAGATGAAAAGAAGGAAAACTAACAATATGATGCCAGGTTGCTGCAAGTCAGGCCCATTTCTTCTTGATGCCTACAGTTTGTCTGGCCCAGTTTGCTTTTGTTCTTAAGCATATTATTATGAAGAAGTCATGAGACAAGAGCTCTGCCCTCTTATGCTCACAGTCTGCTATCGGTGGCCACAGTGGAAATTTATTGACGTGCAGCAGAATAATCTGTGACTCCAATTTCATAAGTAAAAGAAATTAAGAATTGAAATGATTCCTCAGTCAGCCAGCCAGCCACGCCTCTGTTCAGTTGACCAGTTTCATTTGGGCGGAACATTTGTAATGAGAAGGTGAGAAAATCCTTGCTAAGAGGTGGAAAAAACCCTGTTTTTTACCCTGATTTTGACTGCTTCATGCATTCATCTCTGGTTTATTAATAACATGGTTTTGTTGGTAGTGTTAAAATGCATTTAATGTTGATAATGTTAAAATAAATTCTAAATTTGCACAGCTTATTGAAATATTTATTATGATGTTCAAGTACATTTACCGATACTCACTTGGCGTGCTACTAATTCTGAATCTTTACATTGTTTTCAAAGCCAGGGATGCATTGCTTACTCTGTTTTATGATTTGTTTTTTGTTTTTTTTTTTTCACTGTGCTTTTTGCCTGCTATTTATCCTGTCAGCTTAGCTGTTAGATTGGGAACTGTGTATGCCAGATGCTGTCTGCTGTTCTTTCTTGTGCAGTACTTAGAACAAAAGATCTGATAAGGGTTAATGGTTTTACGAGAAAAAGAGTAATTTCTGTAGCAGGAGGATAAAGAATCTTAGGGAATTTGTGTCTTTCTGATTGTAGAAGATAGCTTAGAAAACACGTGGTTGCAGCGCTACAGATTTTCTTATCTACAACTTTTATTCTATATGTCTCTCTTACTTCTTTCCTTTTAAGGTATACACATTAAAAGTCACAAAATACACATGGGCAAACTCAATTTTAATACTTCTTTTATTATAGTACTATCATTTACTTTGGTAAATTTGTATCCCTGTTTAAAGTGCCTTAAAGCAATTAAAACTTAGTTTAAATTCAAGTATTGTAAAATGTACAGAGTATAAGCACAAAAAAGCTGCATAGTGAAAATGCTAGAGCAGGCTAATACATTCAGGATGCCAAATACTCAAGTATTGCCACCACCAGATCAGTATTAAGGTTAATGATAATTAACCAGCCTCATACAGTAGATACAGAACTGTGGCAATATAACTGCATTGTTCTTAACCATTAACAAAAGATAGAAGCATAACTTAACACTGAAAGAATCTGTAGTATCAGTTTTTATAACATGCCGTAAGTAGTAAGGCAAATACTGACAGTCTTTTACATGCTGCTGGGAATCCAGCAAATACTGTACGTGTTTTCTCTAGGTTCTGAGCCCCTGCAATCCCGACGATTTCGCTGAGAATTTGTGACATCCATGCCTCTTAAAAATCCTCATAAACAATCATTCTTACTTTAATACAGTTTTGCTTGAATTTTTGTTTGAAATTTGTCTCATACTGTTATGAACAAGTATATCCGGGTTCGTATTTCTGTTTTTCACTGTGTACAGGTGCAAGGTCTGCTGTAGCAGGGGATGCGTAATGGGGATGGTAGAATTTTACTTTGAATATTTAGCCCTTATTTGTCCATTTAATTTGAAGCTAGAATAGTTGTACCCTGGCCTAATAGTGACTTGTTATGTGTACTAGATCAAGAGCATGACTCAACCTATAGGATTTATCAGAAGAGGGATTTACTGAAGATATTTTAATTCACGTTGTTATAATGCAGCATTAAAATGATTGGTTGACTCCTTACATTTGAGCGATGAAAGGGTATAATTTTACTTGATGGCTACTAAAGTTGTAGTACAGGTATGTGTGGACAAGTAAGAGAATGTTTGATTTTCAGTGGAAATTCCTGCTTCAAAGTTAGTGGAACAATATGGCTAAAATATTATTCATTTGTAACAGCACTTTTAAAAAATGTGTGTATAATTATGTAAAGGGAAGACATTTTTGCTCAGTTGTTGCCTAAAAAAAAATTTAAAAATACCAGCCGCTTTAAAAAGAAAATTCTTTCTTGATAGTTTATGTGTTTTAAGAGCATCTTTGTATGTAATTTTTTTTTGTTAGAAAGTATTACTTTAAAGTACATTTCAAGAATGACAGTTGTGATATAAATTATTACAAGGATTCATCAGTCATTATGCGTATGCAACACTGAATAATTAAGAGAATGAAATATGCAGTTCTCATTTCCAGAAAGAGAAAACAAGTTCCCTTTTTTCAAAGGCAGAATATGTCAAAGTATAAAGTTATAGTTTAATTTTTTAAATATTCGGCGAAATTCTACAAAACAACAACAATAATGAGAAAATTAAAGGGCCGCACCCAGAGTATAAAACTAGTAGAAGTTGGGTTTCTTGGAATCTTAACTCCCTTGCTCTTCTCCCTTTCTTCTAAAAGACTTGTGTGTTTTTATTGTATTAATCAAAGTACTCAGTAAGATTTCATAGTTGTAGCAAGATAGCAGGCCATGTGGGTCCATCTGCAGTTTATTTCCAGAGCCTGTTGGAGATGAATTTTGGGTTAATTTGCTGTAGGTTAAGGTTTGATAGAAGGAATACTGCAAGATCTCCTCATTACCAGCCTGACTTCAATGTCAGGAAGAGTTTTCTTTTTCGTGTGTAAACATCCTTCGTCCGTTGCTGCCAGGTGGAGATCGAAGCGCAACGAAACAGATTTTTTCCTTAGGCGAGGGTTATCCTTAAAGAAAGAACCTTCCCATTCTTTAATAACTTCATCCACTTTTTCTGTCCTGAAACAATAAAGCAAATGTATTTATGATCCTTCAGGCCATATGAAATACCTATCTTCAAGACTGCTTTTCAAATGTAGAGAGAAATTGCATAGTAAAGTGTCAAGTTATTTTAGGTGGGCACTGAGATACTAGAATTTTCTTTTTGTTCACAGGTTCTTTCTTCAGAAAGGCTAAATACAGAATGAGGGTTCATTATATTCTTGTTTTTGTACTTTTAAGTAGGCATGGATACAAAACCACTGCTCCAAACACAGCAGGCAGTTTGTTTCCAAGGAGAAAGTTTGGAATTCAAGCTCAAAGACTCTGTGAGAAAGCTCCGTACTGTAGTGGGCAGGACGGAATTCCTGCACCTGAAAACCTTCAAAACGGGGAGGAGAAAAATCAAGTTCAGATCCAAACCTCAGAATGTTGAGCTACAGTAAATTAAAAAAAAAAAAGAAAGGGCAGAAGTAAAATACGGAGCATTGAAACCCCAGCTGATTCTGTAATATTTAGGCACCCAAATCCTACTGATTTAATCCTCTGAGAATGTGTCAAGATCCAGGTCTGAAAAGCCCAACTAAGGGGGCCTTGCTCAGGTAGGGGAAGCTTGTACACAGCCCCATGCGGGTCTGCCAGAGTGTGTAAAATGGACAAAGCTCCCCTATGAAAATCAGCTTCACGTATGGGATGTGTATGGCAGACCATATGATGGCATTAATTTTTAATCCAGATTTCGACATGTTTTCAACAGCTGGTGACAGTTCAGTGTTAGTGACATGGCACACTACGGTTTGTTTTCAATGCAATGTTAAATCCCAGTCTACAAAAGAGCTTGAGCAGCAGCAGAAAAAAAAAGAACGAGGCAATCCAATACTATGAAAGTAATTTAAGGGGAATAATACACACTAACAGACTTTCCCATGCCCACTTAGAAGCCAAGCTCTCCGTTCCCTCTGTAGTAACTGGTGAAATGTAGGAGTTTCCAAACACAAGTTGGAGCAGCCAAGCCTGAATTTGTGTGCATAAATAATGCCCCAGAGGGACTTCACTAACACAGTATGGGCTCTTTTGCTTTCAGCCTTAACTGAATGAATTATTCATAGTTTCATTCTTGACAGAAATAGAAATTACAAATCAGAAGCATCATCATGATACTGATAGCTTATGAAGTAAATGCTAATAAAAAGAACTTTAAAATTTAATTTGTTGTTAAAACATGCCATTCAATATAACTTAAAGAACTATCATTGTTATTCTTGGAGCTTCTTGGCTCTATGGGAATGATATAGCAGACACTAAATAGAGGAAAACTCAGAGCTCCTGAAATGTAATGCCCACCATTTACTTTCAACTATTATTTTGTTAAATTCATGTTTATCTTACTGTACAGTGCCATGGGCTTCAGCGCTTTCCTTCATAATATTTCCGTCTAGGATGGCTTGTTTTGTCATCAGTTCCACCTTCTCAGTTTCGTGCTTCTTTACACCATCTGTTAAAGAAAATGCAGATATATGAGGTGTGCAGAAGAGTAAGGTCAGGACACAGGACCTAGAGGTATTTTTCCTCCTCCTGTATTGGAAGAAGATCCTTCTGTAATACCCAGTAATGTGTCAGTAATTAGGAACCTCCTTCAGGGCCATAATCCCCTCATGGGGAAGTGTCTCAGAGCTCACCTGAGGGCAGTGTAAAGGTGATCTTGCTTGTGGTAGGCTTTTTGTCATCCTTCTGGGCAGCTACAGTGCAACGGAACCTGAAAAAAATAAATATTATGGTCATCTAATGCTATTGATTTACCTTAATCCAAACCTTATTAGCAGCTATGAATAATTTAAAAATATAAGAATCATGTGAAGTTCTGTTTGATTGTAGTAACTACTTGTTAGGATTTCTCATTCTGAGTATAGAATTGAAGAAAGTTGTGCAATTTTGGACAGTTTTTAGTCAGTTTGTTGTGTGCCAGGAGGAGTTAATTTCATTTTATTAATACTGAATTGTGTGTGTTTTCACAGATTTAGAAGCATTAAATCTGAAACTGACTCCTTTGTCTGGAATCTTTTTACATAAACATGTGAGGTTCTGCAATGGAAGATAAATTTTCCTCTAAACAAGTACCTGTTCTCTTCTTGCTCAAGCAGACTGCGGTATGTTGCTATCTCCTCCTCCAGCTTCATCCTTGTGTTCAGGAGAATTTCGTGCTCTTGCAGCTGTTTCTCGATACCTCTTCTCACATCCAGGAGCTCTTTCTCTAAGCATTCGATCTCCGATTCGAGATTCTGTAGTTGCATGTGGTACTGCTGCTCGGTGGCGCGCAAGGAACGTTCCAAACCCTTCTCCTGTGAAATTTAACTCGTATTTTAAGGGTTGGAAAGTATAATACGTACTGTTTACTAACAATCTCTGTATTTTTACATCAGTTCTTTTAAGAGTATTCTTTAGGAGCAGGAGTAAAGCTTCCAAGATAATGCTTTTGCTGAGAAATTCTCCATTAAAATCTGTAATAATTTAAGATAGGATTAAAAAAGTAGCCTTCTGTTGTGCCAGCAATCCACTGCCATCGAGTTTACAGATCTCTGATTTTCCCTGTACAGTTAAACCCATACCCAGCTCAGTACTGTATGGGAACTGCAGTCTGGGTGCTCTTGTAACTTATCGATATCACTGAATTCAGTAAATCACTGACAGATTTTATCACAAATGAATTGATAAATTTTGTCCACACATTCAAAAGAAGTTATAAATGTGATGTGAATTGGTCAGGCAGAATAGCCAGGAACTTGATGAGGGAGTATCATGCATGTGTATGTTTGGCAGGTGTGAGAACATGAAAACACACGTATATTGAATGGCAGAATTGAAATATACGATACTCGTAAACGTGAGCAAACAACTGGGTTAGTGCCTGGTTAGTGCCTGGTTAGTGCCTGGTTAGTGCTATGTGACGAGCTGGAAACCCGCCACGGAGCTGTGCATTTCTGTGTGTGATATACTGCCACTGTACAGGGGATGTGATTGTTACAAAAACTGAATTGTGGAATAGTTTACATCAAGAAAGAGATTTATTTTTTCCAGGAGACTTCAAGTCTCATTCTCTGGTGCTTACCACAGCGTGGAGAGATTCAATTTCCATCTGCATATGGTGCCACTGCCGCCTCGCTTCACAGAGTTCTGCTCTGGCTGCCTTTAATGCTTCTGCATCTTTGTCCATTCTTTTAATCGTAGCTTCTTCTAGCTTCAGGGGTTATAAAAACAACAACAATATTAAAAATAATCAAAAAAAAGAAAATAAAATAGGTACATAAAAATCCCTAGTTGGAATTTTCTTAGAGCCATATGAGTCTGTTGAAGCTAACAGTGATGAGTTAATATTTCATGTACTGTGGAGAGGGAAGCCCTTACCCTGCTGGGTTGGATGGGAAGTAGTTCAGCAGCTTTAGTCCTTTGTTGTAGAGGAATTCCTGTGCAAATCAGCCAGTTCTAGACCTTACTCACTCCAGATAAATGGGCTTAACTTCATGGCATTTAGAGGAATAGCAGTCAACTCAAGATTCCAGGTTTGAACAAAGTTCTTTGGTTTTCATGTATTTTTGATTTCTGAGAACAGCTTTATAGAGAGTAGGCACTTTTGGGAGGCTGTATGAATATATCACAGTTGAGAACTGCTGTAATTACGTTTTTGCCTGATCTAGTCTCTGACTAGATTTCACATTGTCATTTGAGAGCAAGTACCTCCAGTCATTTAAATGTGAATAGCATCTTTATCCAAATCTGTAACTTCTCCTTGGCCTCTAAGAACAGAGTATTTAAGATGTCCCTGTCACAGGAGAGAGAGGTAACCCCGGTTCAGTGTGACAGTTCCAAACTGAAGTCCCTTTTCATTCTAAGCTGATTGTTTTGCTTTTGAAAGTTATTTTTCCTGTTTGACTCTGAGCTTTACTGCAAGTGGTGGAGATGCCCCAAGCACTGGAAACAATACATGCTCTTTTGCATATTTTACTGCTTTAGGTAGCTTCTTATGATGCCATCAACTCGAAGGAAGTAAACTCTTTTATTTCAGGTCTTATGAAGCAAGTAAAATAAGTTCCTTCCCCCCGTAACATACTGCCCTACTGTCATTTTACTGTGCCATCGTTTTGGTGAAAAATCTACATTTGGCTAACCCACCAGTGAAGACTAAATATTCTTTGCTTATCCTTTTTTTTTTTTTTTTTCTGCCTGGCTACTGCAGGATTCCTGAGACAAGGTTATACCCAGACACATTGCCTGCTTTGTGCCAAGCTGCCTGGTTCCCCACCGCGGCGTGGCACCAGGCACCGGCTCGGCCGGGTTGCAGCAGCCTGGCCTGTGGGGAGAGAAACCCTCCAGAATTCCTGCAATACCCGAGAAGTACAACAAGGTGATCTAATACCTCATTTTCACCCTGAGTTTCTTGACATTTGCTGGCTGAAAATTGTCGTGTCGTTTTATTTCAAACTCCAGTTGGGTTTTAGAGACGTTTTGTACAAATCTATAATAACAGCACGGTGTGTTGGTGACATGTAATCTGTACGACAGAACAAATTACATTTGCTGAAGAGTCTGACATAGTTTTACTGTGAACAATATAAAACAGGCCTGAAAAGGTACGGTTTTCTTTAATATAGGTGCTAAAAATGGGAAAGCTTTCTGTATATAAATGGATTCTTCACATTGCCTTTGATTTTCAAGCTTCTCTCTCCCCCTGGGGTAACCGACTGGTGCTAGAGGTTACCCTGTTTCAGCATATGTCATCATTTTTTAAAGCACAACAATCTATCACTGTTGCCGGTACAGAAAAGCATCCGGATGAATTACACGGCATTCCCTCCGGTGTGGATTTCACACCCCGACCGAAATCTATTTCCGTCTCTTCTCCTTCGCATCCCACTGCAGTAAAACCAGCCTCCCTTCCCCAGGAATATTGCTGCATTGAGAAGGAGATACCCTACCTCGGGAGAGGCTGAGGGAGGGATTGTACGGACAGGGCTCGTCTCCTGCCTCTGGAAGGAGCGTGTCTGTGTGAAGGCATTACCTGGGTCCTCGCTGAGGTGGCGGTCGCTATCTGATTTCTGGTGCCGAGGGGCTCCCCCCGCGCCCCGCTCCCATTGAGGAGCCGGGGCCGCTCCATCCTCCCCCCGCGCCCCCGGCCCGGCCGGGCCCAGCCCATAGGACGCGCTGGTGCGCGCGAGCGGCGCCTTAAAGCTACAGAGCCCCAATTCCCCGCCGGCGCCGGAAGGTCGGGGCTCCCGGTCCAGCAAAGGGCTGTCGCTTTTGGAGAGATTGAAGTAACGATACCTAAATTCTGTGCTGAAACGAATGTATGCAATGCCTTTATGTTTCTGTTACCGTGGGTTTTTATAACCTCAAAACCGTGAGGTTAATTGATACAAAGCGAAGGACGAAGTCACAGGTGCACAGCATGAGTGTGCAATCCCAAAGGGAAAGGGAACAGCTTCCCAGTGCTACACCTGTACTGGTGGCAGAGCTGCCAGACTGCGCCTTCACCGGGCACTGGGCAGCCCCGGAGCAGGTTAGTCGAGGGTTCTTAGAGAGTTTTCCATCCTTGAAGGTTTTTAAGAGTCAGCGAGGCAAAGTCTCGGGTGTCTGAGCTGATGGAGTGTTGAGGACTGTCCCGTTTTGAAAAGGAACTGGGCTCCTGGACACCCTCTCCCCGACATTTGGGTGTTTCTATGGGCAGGAGCACAAAAAGCAGGAGAGGAGCCAGTGCTGCTGGGGGTGAGACATTTGTGCGCCCTGTGGTGGGGGGATCCGCTCCCCGTCTGCAGAGTGCAAAGTTCTGGTGAATTCATACTTCAAACACAGCAAACTGCTGTCAGAAAAAGTGTCTGGTTTGGCTCTGAAGGTGTTCACAGTACCTCTGCTGTGTGTCAGCGTGTGCCCTTCACACAATATCACATATGTGAGAGTCTTACACCTTTCCTGACAGCTGTCAGGGAGGTAGAAAGTGTATGTTCTCTGCTGTGCTGCACTTTCTGCAAATAATTCTTCATTTCCTGGCTCACTGTAGCTACTGTATGGTCCCAATGATCTCATCCTCTAAGCAGCTCTTGCCTGCTCTTCAAAGTTTTTACAGTCATGGACAATACCAGATATTTAGTGAAAAAAAGTTACATTTCCTTAAAAAATAAAAATTCCATAAGCAGAATGCATTTTTAGGCTCCAAATAAGAATATACATCAGTAAAACAAGAAAAAAAGGTGGTAAACTTTTCCAAGACACTCATCTTTTTAGAAGTCAAAGTATTATACCACTTAAAAGTCTCCTTGTGTGCATAAGGCTTCCTTGTTCTCGGCTCTGTCCCCTGGCACATGTCAAAGGATCCTGTGTTCTGAGTTTCTTTTTCTTTGCTGGCTGTTTTTCAGCTGACCTGGACTGAGATGAGAATGTTTTGCTGTCCGCTATCTTTTCTATAAGTGTCTTAATTATTCTCATTCTATGTAATTCTGAAACCACACTATTGACCATGTTTTTCGTTGATGGTATGAGAGCAGTCACACAGTGGGAACATTGGGAATCCATCCAACAAGTATTAGATGATACACCTTAGGACAGTATAAGCATCAATAGGAAGAGCCTGTGTATTTAAGCAAATAAGAACTTGAAATGTAATTTAAAAGCTTCCTTTTTCTTCACATTGCAATACTGATTGTTTACAGTCTGCCTTCAGTTCCCTGGGACTCTGAATGTTTTCTGTTTACATCAGGCAAAGTCAAGGCTGTCTAGTGCCCAGAATGAATCTAGAGATGTGACAGTTTGAAATACAATATAGAGGTCTGCAGGGAGATTGGATTTGGTCCCACAAACCAAACTTAATGCATCAATGAGCATCTGTGGATGAATCTTTGTATTACCAGGAGCTGAACATTTGCCGGTTGATACGATTTTTAAAAGCTTTTAAATAGAAATTAGAACTAATGCTTTTTTCCCCCCTTTTTTTTCAGGTGTAAAGGGAACATCTGGCTGTGACATCTCTGAAGGCTGAAGTCAGGTAGGTGTAAGCAATTATGTCTTTACTAGCATTTCTGTGTTTTTGAATTCTAGCTACTTTCAATGTTCATATTTTAATACAGATGTTAGATTTTAGTTAACTTCAGAGTTCAGATGTGTGTGTCAGTTGTTTGGGTTCTGAGGTACAGTGTGCCAATGCTCTTAGTGGTTGCAAACTGCTCTGGTTTCCCGTTGTTGCTTGCAAGGTGGATTTCTCCACCTTAAACTGTTGAAGACGTGCATTTACTCAAGAGTTTTTCAAGTTCTTCCCTCTTTGTACTGGCATATATAGAAGGTTCTTCTGTTTCATGTCTTTTTTTTTCTTTACCTGACAGTTTGTTGAAGACGTGCATTTACTCAAGAGTTTTTCAAGTTCTTCCCTCTTTGTACTGGCATATATAGAAGGTTCTTCTGTTTCATTTCTTTCTTTTTCTTTACCTGACTGGAGTTCAGATGTTGCGATGCTACTGTGCTGATTTAGTTCTTTGATTATTGTTTTATTTACCCTGGATTTTATTGGTTCCAAGCAGAAAGCAGAAAAAAATGCTAGTAGTGGGTTTTACACAATGGAAGGACGGTGTGAAATCTGTGCTCCCATTAAAATTTGAGTTTGGGTCAGGTGACACGATGCGCAGAACATTTGTGTTCTAGAGACACAGCAATATCCACGTAGGAGGTCGCAGTGACTTCCTTGTCCTATCTGAGAATCACACAAAAATCATCAACATCTTGGCTCAAGAATAGAGGCTGAGGTGTGAACTGTAAGGGGATTGTACTTTGGTTCACAATTTTGTTCTGGATGAATTAATAGTTCATTTGAGTTGGTGACCAGGAAGCCAAATTCCGGACCCGCGAGCCCCTGGTGTGCTCCCAGCAGGTGGCACTCGGGCCATGGGACACCGCTGCTGTGGGGCCAAACTGTCTGTCTGTCTGTCCCTCCTCTGCCACCACACTTGCAGCAACTACAGTGTGTTGTTCTGTTTGCAAAAGCTCTCCTTTAAATTGATCCTACATTTAAACAGTTTTTTTAACATGTACATTTTCTGGCATCGGATTCATTTCTTCCAATGAGCGGGGAATCTGATACCACACACACAGCAAAAAGCACAGGAAAGCAAAATACCCCACAAAATGGCAAATATGGATTAGCAACAGCAGAATAAATGGAGGCTAATATCTTAAAGCTTGCTGAGTCCTTTTTATTAATCAAGCAAACAGGGAAATGAGGTTAGAATGGCAAAATTATTTTATATATTAATTACTAAAAATTATGGAAAAAGCTTCTCTAATTAAATGCCCACTGTCAGCACTGTGCTTCTAGCTACTGAACAAAGAATTGATGATATAGTTAAAGAACACCATGAAAATAATACATGTAATAGCAATAGACTGAAGCAGAAAATATATTGTGTGACGGGTAAGAACAGAAATGCAGGGTTTGATTCATTTAAAAGAATCTTAGTAAGAAGCCAATCTATTTTTATCACTTCATACAAAAGAGCAAAATTATTTATCCCTTTTGGCTTTGAACGAAACCTGGAGTGAACAGATCCTTTGCAGTATGGGATTGTGCCTTATATCTTCTCTTCAACTTCCTTAACGTGCGACGCAACAACTTTCCCATCTACCACTTCTTCGACAATTGTCTTGATCTTTCTGGTTTTGGTAGGATCTAAACATCATACACAAACCAAAAAAATATTTATCAAAGTGTTAAAAATTATAAACCAAGGCAGCACGTGTACATGAACAGTTACATCTTTCCTTTCAAATTGGTAGTTTCTTATGATGAGCTCGATGATGTAGTTAAACAGAAGAGCATGTATTATTTTATTTATAAGAATAACTTCAGCCACAAAATTTTATTCAGCCAAGTTCTACTTACCCTGAGAAGAATCCAGTGATTGTGTTTGTGATTTGGACCCTGTCAAGGATGAGCTTTCAAATGTAACTCCCTGTCCTGCGCTCCTAAAAGTGAATCAGAGACACGCAGTGTTGCAGAGGCTTGTCAGGATCAGGAGAAATCATATTATTTAAAATAGTGAGCAGAATGGCTCATTCTCCTCATGCAGAGCTTGGCTGTATTATTTCAGAACCACGGTATGAGCCTTACGGTCTCTTGTTGAATGTACCACTGGTTTTACCTCTTTTTTCATAGAGAGGATATTGCTACAGAAAATAAAACAGAGGAGGTATTTAGTGTGAATTAGTGACTTACACAAACTCGCCGTCCAGCAGGCGACGGTAGGTTTCAATCTCCATTTCCAGACGACTCTTGATGTCCAGCAGCTGTTGATACTCCGCGTTCTGGCGCTCCATGTCAGCCCTCACCTGGAACAGCTGCGACTCCAGGTTCCCGATCTGAAGCTGCATTTGTGAAAGCTGAGCACAGTAACCTCCTTCCGTTTCTGCCAAAGTGTCCTCAAGGGATTTTTTCTGTGTAAGAAGGATATTAAATAATCTCTGATTGAGGAAATAAAAAAGTTCTTTACAAAGACAAACCCAACTGAAGTAGTTTAATGGGAGTAAGTGTTGCCTCGTTACTTAGAGATTTCTATTTTTTTTCTTGAAATACCAGTTTGAGAACTGGCCTTTGCTGCTTCACTGCATATGAACATAAAAGTCCATCTGCTTTATAGCATCCTACTTGCAATCCAATTATATATATTACTGCTATTTAGGTACTAAAGAGTGCAGAATTCAATAGGAAATAGGAAATAAATGCATCTAACAACATTTTTTGAAGTTGGCAAATGTCCCCATACCAGGTAGCAGCTTCCCTGGAGCCTACCATGGCGAGCTGAGATTGTAGCTCAATTTCCAGGCTCTGGAGGGTCCGTTTCAAGTCTGTGATCTCACTCTTTCCTGACTGAAGCTGCTCAGTATTGGTGGAGATTTCCCTCTTCAGCTCCCCACTCTGGAATGACAAGGAAGAATTGAGTGTAATTTTACCGTTACAAATATTTAACTCATTTTTATATCCATTTTGCTGTATTTGCTCTCTCTGGTTGTTACCTTTTCATTGAACCATGCTTCAGCCTCTTTACGGTTCTGCTCAGCAATGACTTCATACTGTCCCCTCATGTCATTCAGGAGCTTGGTCAGGTCAGTTCCAGGGGCAGCATCCATTTCAACACTGACTTGGCCAAGAGTGGTGCTTTGGATTCCCTGGAGCTCCTGGAGACGTAAAATAAGGAAAAGTTTCTGTTAATAAAAAGCAAAATACTTCTACCACAAACATATATGAAGAAATATACGTGATATAAATTCTGTTCCAACAAGACTTCATAGCTTATGTGCATATTTCTTTCACTCTTCCACTTAGTAAACTCAAAAAAAGAACAGCAAACAAAACGAATAATGAAACCAAGGAACTCCCACAGGCATAAGTAAGGGCATAATTTGATATTTCACATTTCCATCTGCCTTACTATGAATTCACAAAGAAAAAAAAAAGTACCTCTTCATGATTCTTTTTGAGGTAGGCCAGCTCTTCATTCAGGCTTTCGATCTGCATCTCCAGGTCGGCTCTGGTCAAGGTCAGCTCATCGAGAACCCTGCGCAGGCCGTTGATGTCGGCTTCCACGCTCTGGCGAAGAGCCACCTCGTTCTCATATCTGTAAAGAAAGTCATTAAATAGGGGTTTTTATGTGGTTAATGAGGTCAAATGCAACCTATTACTATGCACTTGTATAGCTTTTACTATGAAATCTTAATACGCATTAACTGTTATACTATTGTCTAATAATTATGATAAATGAAAGAGATTTTTAAGTGCAAATTTTTTCCCCTTAAAATATTAATAAGAGGCTTTGTAACATTAAGGTATCTTACTTCAGTCTGAAATCATCAGCAGCCAGTCTGGCATTATCAATCTGCAAAATGATTCTTGCGTTGTCGATAGTTGCATTAATGATCTGAAACACAAACAACATTCAGAGAATGATGTTACGGCCAAGTAGCTTTGCAGCTCAATATAGCTATTGATTTCTGAAAGGAATTTGTTACTGTTATCCAAAATATTATTAGGTGAATCACAACATTAAGTACATTGCTTTGCTACCTTGTTTCGAAGATCTTCGATGATAGGATAATATTTACTATAGTCATTGCCAGTGCCAGGGACACCAGCTCCGGGGCCGTTTTTCTCGTACCACTCGCGGATTTTGCGCTCCAGCTCAGTATTGGCATCCTCCAGAGATCGTACTTTGTCCAGATAAGCAGCCAGTCGGTCATTGAGGTTCTGCATAGTTTCTTTTTTTGAGCCAGAAAGAAGGCCACCATCCCCAGCACCACCAGTGCCAAAGCCACCTCCGAAACCAGATCCTGAGCCGCTTCCAAAGCCACCTCCAAAGCCAGTGCCTGAGCTGCTGCCAAAACCACTTCCAAAACCTCCACCAAACCCACCGCCTAAGCCACTTCCATAGCTACCACCTAAACCACCACCAAAGCCTCCGCCGACGCCACTACTTAAGCTGCCCCCAAAGCCCCCACTGAAGCCGGAGCCTGAACCAAGCACAGAAGCAGCACCAAACCCTCCGCCAGATCCACCACCAAACCCTCCGCTAGATCCACCACCAAACCCAAGGCCGCTGCCCCCAAAGCCTCCTCCAGCGCTGGAACCAGACATCCTCAGGGATCCCCCGCCGAGCCCGCTGCGAGACGAGAGCTGCCGGGACCCAGCGCTTGTGCGCACAGACAGGGCCATGGCGGTGCCGGTGCCGCGGCCGTTTGCCGAGCAGGGAGCACAGAGCAGGGCAGCACGGAGAGAAGGACCACCCTTATATAGGGAAGGCCGTTGGGTGTTTTAGTTGGAGTCCCACCTCCTAGGAAGATCTTTCATTCTTTCTCCCTCTCCCTCGTTTGCAGGGCAGTCAGTTTAGTGTGCCCTGACCCGACTCAGTGATATGTGCCCATCCAAATTGCCAAGGGGAGTGGAAATCTGTTGCCCTCCAGGTGTTTGCTGCGTGAGGGGAAATGGGTGGAGTAGAGCTAAGACACCGTGATGATGTTTCACCATGTGCAGTGGGGCACAAAAAAGTCTTTTCGCATTTAAATCTGTACTAAATAATCTTTTTGTCATTACGTATTAATTTCTTTCTTGCTTTGGGGCTATTATTATAAAAGTATGCTTAAGTCGGTGTAATGAGCCCTTTCACACCAGGCTCCCCAGTGCGCACGTCAAAAATGTGTTTCTTTTCATAATACTTTTCTGGCGTGAACCTCTGCCAGGTTAGTGCTCTCTGTGTGTTTAATAAGAAGTAAGGAAAGAGATCAACAAAAGTGCATGAAGAGGCACATGGACGTTCAGTGATCTGCAGGTTAATCATTAATTTGAAAACATAAGTATACTTGATTATACTGAATATAAGTTGTAATTGTGTTTTCTGCCCTAAACCTTTCATCATTGAAATATCTCTGTGTGATATGTATAGCTTATACCAATTGTTTATACTTTCGAGCTGAAAACTAACCATTTTTTCTTCTATGTAGTTTGCTACTATCTCAAAATAAGGAAAATTATTTCTGCATTTTTTGCTTTTCATAATATAAATCTAAAGATCAAATATAGCTCTTCTAGGTGACAGGTTCAGGCATGGAAACCCTTCAAAACCAATACACTTTTCTTTTGAAGTTATTTCAGTAAACAGAAAATCGTTTTTTCTTTGTCCTGGCTTAATTATATCATTGGATTTGTCAACTGAAATGTATTAATTTTTGATTTATCTACATCCAGGAGCAGGGGTGCTTTTTTGGGCAGAAATGTATTATGAGCAGTAGATCAAAGGTTTCAGTAAAGCATTTATGTAGAAATGAATTGATAGCCTGGTATCAGTGACTCATGGTGGTGAAAGCAAAGGATTACTTTCTTTGGCAGCTGTTTATGTACAGTAAATAACCCATTGGACAGGGGAGATTTCAAAAGGAAGAGGTTTTTGTGTTTATGTTGTCAAGAGGAACGTGTAGAGTCCTTGGACGGGGGCTGAGGGTGCGGCTGAGGAGCCGCCGTGTGGGAAAGGCTCCGGGCAGGTATCGGTACAGGGAGGCTGAAGAGAAACAGTGGGCTTTGTTTCTGAACAGAAAGGCAAAATATAGTCTCATTGATAAAGTATCTTTGCTTGCTGTAGTCCTTGGTGATATAAGCATTCACAGAGTGAAAAAAAAAAAAATAACAGGCTTCCTCAATTTTGCGTTTAAATTTATTATTAAATGAGAATTGACACTTCTTATTTATTTGAAAATAATATCTTACTGAAGTGAAGCTGCATTATATTTGAATGGTAGTTCAAGTTCAGAAAGGGTGCACTGAGACAACAGTTTAATGTGTTTTGAAGAACAAATCTACTCTAAATATGCCAGTATGTAAGAGAAAAAGTAGATTGCTGAACTTTGAATCCCAATTACATTAACACATCTGATAGAGAGTGTATCAGCTGTGTGTGGTAAATTCTTTCTTGTAAGGTTTTGATAAGGTGTCCATCAGGGTTTCAGAAATAGCAACTCTCTTCTAAAAACTTCTCTTTTTATTAATATGTTGAAGTGTGAGAAAACTTAAGGCACCAGATGTTGTTGTGAACTGTCTAAAGAAATGAAATAAAAATTCTCCTCATGGTTTCAGAAGAGCCCAGTGCCATCGAGAGCTTGTCAAGCGCATGAGCGAGTTGTGTCCTGTGTCTTTCACCAGTTTAGTGCTTTGAAAAAGCACTAAATTTAATTTAAATTATTTTTAAAGCTATAGTAAATTCATAAAATTCATAAAATTCAAAATCAGTCATTTGACTTTCAATTTGTACTGAAAAAGTTTTTTAATGTAATGTAAAGACTGATGTAAATAAAAGCTAAAACTTCCATTTTTATCTGTCTTGGAAACAATAATACCTTTATTTCAGGCTGCCTTGGGTTTTTTTCACCAAGGTATTTAGTCACTATTTAAGTAAACCCAAAATCTTGTACTTTGTAACAGTGATTTTTTTTAATTACCCCCCCAAGAAAAGAAAGATCGATTGCAAATTGATAGTTTGGCATTTTTCAGCCCTGGTGGGGTTTAGGGAGACGACTGGATTCTTTAGAGAGTTTCATCTTTATTTCTGGCCTGGGGTGCAGGAAGCTCAGAGCCGCCTCCTCTCTGCTCCTGCCATTCACATCACCTCTTCAATCTCCTTCACCTCGGAGGAGACAACCTTGCCGTCGACCACCTCTTCAACAATTGTCTTGATCTTCTTAATTTTACTGGATTCTGGTGATGAAATTGAGCAGTAAATTAATGAAATGCAATGTATATTGACAGGATAAGCTGACTGTAGTGCTAGCAGCAGCTCCACAGATGAGAAAGCAGCTAAAGGTGTCTTTGCAACGCGCAGCTACTGGCTGTACAGGATGTGGGTTCCCTTCCTTTGAACATCCTGTGAGTTGCCCATAATACTATCGTGGACATTATGTTGAATACGTCTTTATCCCTCCTCATATTTTCCTTTACAAACTTGTAGACCTAAAACCTAGGAATAGTCTTACAGCAAACTGGATATTTTTGCAGTTAAAGTAAAGTAGCTAGTTTATTTAGCAGCCTGGTCTCCCTGCAGAGTCAGTGGGGAGAAGCAGCTGTTTCTCAAGTCCTCCAGAGGGTAATTCAGTAATTCTCTATCGTTCTCTTGGCTCTTTGAGGAGTCTGTGGTTTTACTTGAATTATACCTGAATTATACCTGAATTATACACATAAAGCCAGGCACTGGATGATCCCTGTAGGTTATCTGTTCATACAGTCAATTGCTTTCTTGATGTAAGATTCTACTGGTTGATTATTTGCTCTGAAACTGTGTCTTTCTATGTCAGGCTACTTAGTTCTACAGCATTTCGACAGCCATCAAAAAATAAGGAAGTTAGTGTGCATACCTTTTTCAAGCTCTGCTGCAGATGTCTCCACTTCGAAATGTCTGTTCAAATAATAAATTAAAAAAATGTAAATATATGGCACATAACATTGAAGAAAAATCCTTCCACAGCAGCCTCTGAACCCAGCAGGAACTGCAGCCTGCTCTGGGTCTACCATTGAGAACTGGGCAACAGACTCCTCCCAACCAGTTTGAAACTGGCAGAGTTTACATGCTCACCTTCCCTGAATACAGACAATTTGCAATGCTGTTTGCTGTCACACCAAACTAAACCAACAACCAAGGTGTGTGTATTTCCTCACCCGCTCTCCTCTCCCTCCAGCAGCCGCCGGTACGTGGCGATCTCCATTTCCAAGCGAGTCTTGATGTCGAGCAACAGACTGTACTCTTGGTTCTGACCCTCCATGTCAGCCCGGAGTTGCCTCAGTTGAGCTTCTAAACTGGCAATTCTTTCCTGGATTTGGGCTATCTGATAACTGTAACGTGCTTCAGTTTCAGCCAGACTGTCTTCTAGAGACTTTCTCTGTAGCCGATGAAAAGAACAGACATGTATTATTCAAGAGGATTCATTTCTGTGTTAAAATAACATTTTGACTGCTAAGCCTCTTGTTTTCTTTCTTTATCCATGTAACTGTCTCCTAAGCACGGTCCTTATTTCAAGTACTCTGTTATTTACCATGTTAAGGTGGGACTGTAATTCCAGCTCCAGGCCCTGCAAGATCTGTCTGCGGTCGGTGATCTCCCTCCTCTGGGCCTCCAGCTGCTCAACGTTGAGGGCGACTTCCTGGTTCAGTTCTGCTGTCTGCAGGGCACAAACGGAGGGGCTGTCAGCTGCAGCGAGACACGACTGAGTCTCTTCCTGGTGTTGAAGTGATTGACCTTACCTGCTTTTCAAATTGCTCTTTGGCTTCTTGACGGTTCTTTTCTGCCATCTCTTCGTATTGCTTCCTCATGTTTTCCATGATGGTCCCAAGATCAATACTGGGGGCAGCATCCACCTCTACTTGAACTGAGCCTTTCACCTCCGTGCGCAGTCGGTTCACCTCCTATGGTGATAAGAGTTGTATTAGTGTCACAGAACTGGGTTGGAAGGGACCTTGAAGATCATCAAGTCCACCCTCCTGCCATGGGCAGGGACACCTCCCACCAGACCAGGTTGCTCAGAGCCCCATCCAACCTGGCCTTGAATATGGAGCTGAATCCCACTCAAGTGTAATATTCTTTCAGGTTCACCATGAAGCTTTCATTGTTCCTAATGAGGCTGAGTGTGTGTGCTACGTAAATCCCTCCCTGGCAGTGTTTGGCTGCTCTCACCTCCTCATGGTTCTTCTTCAGGAAAGCCAGTTCTTCATTCATACTTTCAATCTGCGACTCCAAATCAGCTGTTGTCAAAGTCAAGTCATCACGAACTCGGAGCAGTCCGTTAGTGTCACTGTCCACACTTTGCCTGAGCAGGTATTCGTTCTCAAACCTGGAGAATAAAGGCTTGTTTTGTCATCATGAAAGTGCAACTGCTTGATATAGATGTTAAATCAGTAACTACTACAGCCTTAGTCGTAAAAGTTTTCTTTTTATTAAACTTTACGTTAGAAAATGTTTACTTCTCAGCTTTGATACTAATAACTAGAAGCTTTTGTGAATAAGAGGAGCATGGAAGAGAATTTCTGAAACTATCCTGGAACTTACTTCAGTCTAAAATCATCCGCAGCCAGTTTGGCGTTGTCAATCGCCAGGACAAGCCTTGCGTTTTCCAGCTGTGCAGCAGCAACCTAAACAGGAAGGATGGAAAAGTGATGAACCTTTGCACAGAAATGCACGCTTCTTCCATTTCTGAACATTAATACTGCCTGTGGGCTTCACCTTCCTTAACGTTAGCTGTCTATTGGGCATCTAGGGTCAAGTTCCCTTTCAAGTGCAGAGAAAGAATTAGGGTTTTCCAAAAGGCAAATTATCCTGTCATAAAGCAGGTATCTAACTGCTCTCTGGGAGAGATCTGCTGGGATGGGAAATAGAACTGGTGACAACTCAGAGGGGCAAGGTTTGCGAAGTCCACTGGAAACATTATTTGACAAATCTCTCAGCTGATTGCTGTGGGAATAGTCTGTTGGTTATAGTGGTGATTTACTATTTCAAGTAATGATCGATTTTTTTTTCTGAGCATTTGGCAGTCTTTTCTAAAAAAAAACCACTTTGAAATGCACAGATGCTGAGCTATATTTAAATATGTAACTTAACATCAGTATTTTCACTAATTATAATTACCTAAGGCAAGTAGAATAGAATTAATTAATTTTGATTCAAAAGATTTCTCATGTGAGAGATTACACACAACTGCAGACATATACCTACTATTACAAATTACATAAAATCTGTCACTAATTTGTATCTGATCAAAATAAAGCATCTTTTTTTCGTAGCTAAGACAATTGCAATTTGGAAAAGTACCTTTTCTACAGTAGATTATTATCTATCTCCTCGATAATTGCGATTCATGTGTGTGTAGAGGGCTGTGTGATACCTTACCTTACTTTGCAGATCTTTAATTGTTTTGAAGTAGGAGCTGTAGTCTTGCCGTACGCCCACGCTGTTGCTCTCGTACCACTCCTTGATCTGCTTTTCAAGCAGGGAGTTTGCCTTTTCCAGAGATCTCACCCTCTCCAGGTACGAGGCCAAACGGTCGTTCAGGTTTTGCATAGTGGATTTTTCAGTGCCGGCGAGCAGCACGTCGTTACCGGTGATGTTAAGCTGGAAGTTGCCCCTGCCACCTTGCCCGAAGCCAGAGCTGGTGGATATGCGGGTGCCGTAGCCCCCAGCACCCCCATAGACACTGGGGGCCTGGCTTTTTTGGACAGCTGTTTTCCTGAAGCTCAATCCACTGACGCTGGGTGTGGTGGGATGGACGCGGGAGCTTGCGCTCCACTGAACGCTGCGGGTGGAGAAGGCCATTTCTCTTCTTCCTCTTCTGGAACGAAGCAGCTAAATGGGCAGAGAGAGAGGCTGAGGTGAGGAGCAGCCTGTGCTCTGGACACCTTTATATGGGGTGCAAAGAGGAAGCTCAGGAGTTACAAACCCCACCTCTGTTGACACACAGTGTGACCGGTGTCAGCACAAACAGCACAGGGCTTATTGCCCCCCCTGGCTCCGTGCAGTCTACAGGGGTTCGCATCTGTTTGTCTGTGTTTCTGAAACCCCCCCCAGGTAGCTTGGCTCGCTTATTGCCCCCCCTGGCTCCGTGCAGTCTATAGGGGTTCGCATCTGTTTGTCTGTGTTTGAGAACCTCCCCCCCCCCAGGTAGCTTGGCTCAGGGCTTATTGCCCCCCCTGGCTCCGTGCAGTCTACAGGGGTTCGCATCTGTTTGTCTGTGTTTCTGAAACCCCCCCCAGGTAGCTTGGCTCGCTTTGTTACAATTTTGAATAGAAGATAAAACACAAATAAACTATTGAATCATTTATCACAGTGTATCTGCAGCCATAATCTCTATAGTCCCTTTGAAAGAACAAGTAGATTCTTACCATGATGTGCAGGGTGTGAAATGATATTGAGAGTTGACAATATGTGACAAGAGACTTAAAATATTTATATTTGCAATCATACATGTTCCTGTTGAGTAAGCAATGCTCTGGGCCTCAGGACAGTGTATAAATTATTAGAAAGGAGGCATCAAACCTGGGCATTACATTCATTAACAGGAAATCAGCTGCCTTTTTTCAGCACATGAAGAAACCCAACAATCCTACTTCTAATCCTCCTGAGGTTCCTAAACAGACTGTGGTGTGTAGTTTTGATAGAGAAAATATAGAGATAAAGTGGAAAGTGAGGGCAGAAACTGGTTTCTGGGGGGCTAGTGCAGCAGGGAAGCATGTGGCTGGTGAGCACTGGGACAGTATGAAGGTGTGTTCCTTGGGGCGTTGCACTGACAGCACTTCAGTGTATTATTCATGTACAGCTTGTGGGGTAGAACAATTAACAGATATTGCTTGTATTATCAAAAGCAGCTGGTGTACGTACTGATCTTCGACCTCGGGGCAAAGAGGCTGGTGAGGCACCACGCTCTGGAGGCAGTAACTGTACCAGGGTCTTGGGGAATCAGTACTCTAGGTTTTTTAAATTAATGTGCTCCAGATTAGTCTAAACAGTATTGGATCAGGCAGAGAGTTAAACTGTCATCATTAGCTATTGTGAAAATATGCATCTTTCAAACCAAAGTGATCAGCGTTCAGGGCAGGACGTTTTTGCAGAAGGATGCCATGAGTTGTCTTTGGACCTTGAACTTCTTTGGGTGTAACCAATAATGAAAAATATTTATGAGAGTTGAAACCAAAGTACACAAGTAATCAAGGTGGGTCATCTTTTATTCATTAAAAGAATTCAGACTGAGTAGGAATTGGTCATGGTGGTAGGGCAGAGCCTGGACCTTTAAAGCTGTAAGGGGAATACAGCAAGAGATCCTGCTGCAGTTACATCTCTGGTTTTATGTTTAACCACCTAGATCTCTGAGGGTATCTTATGATAGTCTATTTAAAAGTAAACATTCTGCTTTCTGTTCTTAGTATTATTAAAATTATTTTCCATGTTACCTTGATGGTATTTTTTGTAAACATCACTCAAAGATTCCATTTTTTCCTTTTATTGAGCAAATGTTATTTGTTACATTTCATGTTTGCCTATAAATGGAAAACGATGTCATTGAAGGTCTGGATTGGCTTTTGTGGGTCAAATTCCTAATCTTTGCATCCCCAACTATCCCCCCTCCCTATGAAGCAGCAGCTCCATAAGTTTAAATACCAAAAGCTAATTCTGTGTGTTGTTAAACTCATGTCAGGTGTTTGAAACTTACGAAGCTGGATACTATTTAGAAAGGTAAGAATAATATAAAAATACACTTCAGATTTATACAGAAATAAAATTCACTGATACACAAACCTTTCTAAGCTTTTCTCTAACTTCTTATGCAGTGATCTCAATTAACGTGGACATCAGAGGCAGGTCAGGCATTTGCCTTGTGCTCAGGCTCTGCTCCTTTAGGTCAAGCTGAACCTTCAATAATTATTTTTCTTCCAGAATCTTCTTGATTGTTAAGCAAAGGTGTTCAGGGCTGTGCAATGAGAAGGGCAGAGCAATAGCATCCTGCAGACCTCGTGTGAAAAGACATTGGGCTGAATTTTCTTAAGTGTTCCTTTTCTTCTCCAAATTGTTCACTGACAATTTCTTTGGTCTTATCATTTTATACGGGTTTCTATTCCAAAAAACAAGCTGGGACATTTGCAAGAATATTTACTAAGATCAGGATCTGAGTAAAAATCTGGTACCGTTCATACCAGAGGTGGGGTTTGCTTCTCCTTTTTGTTTCAATGCAGTTTTTTTCATGGACTATATTTTGAATGGCTGTATAAATCACTGCAAACTGCAAGAGTGAACACCAAAGACCATGTCTGTACTAGAAAATGAAACAAAAGCCTGGCCCAGAGAGCGGGCAAAGGGAGAGCACCAGGTCCTGGCTGTGGCCTCCAGTGCTGTTCAGCTCTCAGCTGGGAGCACCCATCGTTGTCCTCGACCCCCCGCACTATGCCCAGCTATTATCTGGAAGAATATGGGCTGCCTTTTTTTTTCTATATTATTTTTATATTTTATTGGTTGCAACAGTAAATTATCTAAATAGATGTTGAGCAACCTAAAAAAGTATTCTTTGCTATCTGTGGTTTTGATTTAGAGCTAAAGAAGTGCTGTTAAGGCTTTGCTGCTGTGTCAGTTCAGCCGTGCTGTTCCCAGCTCAGGGCCCCGATGGGAGCCCTCTCTCAAGGACAGTCTGGGGATCTGTGCGTAACACTTCCCTTCCCTGACGTGCTCGGTGGGATGGGCTGGGTGTAATCATAATAAAACATTCATTGCAACACTAATAATTTTTTTTTATGAAGAAATCCCGCCTGTGTGACAGAAGTTTAATGTGTTTAAGAACAATGAAGATAAGCTGGGCAGGGGGGTGATAACGTGTGCCTGCCATTTGGTGTTACTCACCTTTACTAACCAGTCTCCAGAATTCAGGGGAAAAAGGCACACCCATCTCTGGTTCTGCATTTAGGTGGAACACACACTTTTCTTTTGGCTGACCTGAAGGTTTAAATAAAGAGTCTTCTAGTTCAGTCTTTAGTGACGATCCATTCTAGGATTGAAATCCAATGCCTGTTTATTAGTGCTGGTAACCGTGTTGTGATCTCCATTTGGATTTTGTGTCGTAAGAATTTGAATCTGAAAGATCTCTTACAATAAAGTCCTGAAAGGACTTCCACTGTCCCAAGTGCATTCAGGGGAGTGGAATTCCTTGTTCAATGTTCCAGCCATATTCCAGTAGTCAGTATGTCTGTGTCTGAGAAATTCCCCTCCTTCTCTTCTTAAGCTACTTGTGAGAAGAATTTAATTCCAGATTTATGTTGTACAGTTTACAACCAAGGGAGCAATAGAGGTGAGCTTCCAGGGGAAAATCAATCTTAAGCTACTTGTGAGAAGAATTTAATTCTGGATTTATGTCGTATAACTGCTTTACAACCAAGGGAGCAATTGAGGTGAGCTTCCAGGGGAAAATCGGCGTCAGTTTTAAAGTAGATGTGAGCTATTGGCAGATTCTAAATGAAGATTTTTCTGAATGAGTGAAAAAAAGTACTTAGGACCATTCTCCACCCAGAAAATGATCTTTGCACCATTTGTTAGTGCAAATTCCACACCCTTGGAGACTGCTCTCTCCAATGAGTAAAGGAAGATGTATTGGGTTTTGCTGAATGTGATTGGACAAGAGAAAGGTCCAAATAATGTCACTGACTCGACTGGATTCACTTGAGCGCTGACCGTTTGCAGCACAAGATCTTACACTGTCTTCCTCACATGCAGATTTTTTCCTCATTTCCTTCTTCTTATCTTTTGTCCAAGGAAAATACCTTAATCGTCAAATCACTGCACCTTTTTTCTTTCTGCTTTGAGCTTTTGACTAGAGAGGTAAATTTAAAACATGACGTGGAATTCCTTGTTCAATGTTCCAGCCATATTCCAGTAGTCAGTATGTCTGTGTCTGAAAAATTCCCCTCCTTCTCTTCTTAAGCTACTTGTGAGAAGAATTTAATTCCAGATTTATGTTGTACAGTTTACAACCAAGGGAGCAATAGAGGTGAGCTTCCAGGGGAAAATCAACGTCAGTTTTAAAGTAGATGTGAGCTATTGGCAGATTCTAAATTAAGATTTTTCTGAATGAGTGAAAAAAAGTACTTAGGACCATTCTCCACCCAGAAAATGATCTTTGCACCATTTGTTAGTGCAAATTCCACACCCTTGGAGACTGCTCTCTCCAATGAGTAAAGGAAGATGTATTGGGTTTTGCTGAATGTGATTGGACAAGAGAAAGGTCCAAATAATGTCACTGACTCGACTGGATTCACTTGAGCGCTGACCGTTTGCAGCACAAGATCTTACACTGTCTTCCTCACATGCAGATTTTTTCCTCATTTCCTTCTTCTTATCTTCTGTCCAAGGAAAATACCTTAATCGTCAAATCACTGCGCCTTTTTTCTTTCTGCTTTGAGCTTTAACTAGAGAGGTAAATTTAAAACATGACTTCAAACAGTGTGATACTTGAAGCCGTGTTCCAGGTCTCGGGGTGCTGCATAAGACGATGTGGTGGTTCCGTCCTTCCCCAACCCCAGGCTGGAAATGAAAGTCAGGAGCTCCCTTTCCCATCTCAGCTGCTCCAGGAGAGTCTCACCTCGGCGCCAACAACAACAGCTCCAGGCCAGACAAATGAACCTGCTCTTTTTTCTTCCCTAAAAGAGCCCTTGATATCAGCTCTAATATGATCTCAACGACAACCAGGCAGATCCTTTTCCCTTGTAAAAATTGTGTGCAACTGAGGTGTCAGTGAATGAGAAAACCAGTAAACTGGAGAGTATTTCAGCTTCCTGGTTTTCTCAGTTCCATAATGCTGGAATCGTTCAGTATCCATGAGAAAATATTGCATGTGATTCAGTAAGCAAAT